ATAAGCTGGATAAATATAAGAACTACACGAACAATAACAGTTAAGGGACGATTATTTGATATTCTAGGGAAGGGATGTTGATTGATTGGTGTTTAACACTACTTTCAATACTATTGGGCTATTCCGTGGTGGTCAGTTTAATTTATAGATGAAGGATGGGGAAGGGAAGAGAGGGCATTATTGTTCATTTTAACCTGTCGCTAATCATGCCTATTTTCAGCTCTTTTACCAGGCAACCATATTCATATATTAAATCCTTCTGTCCCCCACCCCAACAAATAAATAAATATCAAATGGTTTTCCTCTTATTTAACACAAGTTTTAATTGATTGATTGTTTGTTGCTTTTTAACGCCCAGTGACAAATATTTCATGCTTGTTCAGGAAAACACGAGTTTAGAAGTCTTGTATATAATATAAAAACGAACAGATGGGATATGATTGCTAATAAGGTAACTATCCACCGAATTTCAAATATGAAGTGGATGTAAGCAATTATAGACAATCGTAATAGGGCCTTCAACAATGACATAAACCTATTACTGTAAAGTCGTCTATAAAAGGCCCGACATGAAAAGTGTGAACAATTCAAACGAAAAACTAACGGCCTATTTATACATAACAAAACAATTTACAAAATATCAAATATGAGTCGAGACATGAACCAACGACAACCACTAAACTACAGGCTCCTGACCTGGGACAGGCAAATAAAGAAGATGGCAGGGTTAATATAAAAACGAAGATGTGGTATGATTGCAAATGAGACAACTCTCCAAATTACACAAAAAACCAACAGCTTTAAGTCACCGTACAGCCTTCGACAATAAGCAAAGCCTACACCGCATAGGTAGCTATAAAAGGCCCCGAAATCACAAATGTAAAACAATTCATACGAGAAAACTAACGGCCGAATTAATGTACAATAAAATGAACGAAACACAAATATGTATAACACAGCAACAAACGGCAACCACTGAATTACAGGCTCCTGACTTGGGACAAGCACATACATACAGAATGTAGCGGGGTTAAACATGTTAGCGGGATCCCAATCCTCCCCCTAACCTGGGACAGTAGTGTATCAGTACAACAACATGTTTGTGAGCACTCAACCCATCCCAAGTCCAATAAAAGAACAAACCTGCACTTATCAGTTGAAATTAGATTAACTCAAAAGATCGGTACGAGACACACAAAAAAAACTAACATTAAGACAATAGACACAAAGCACCGACATAAGAGTATTTGAAATTACTGGACGTTTGCTCAAAGCTAATTACAACTAGTACTGAAATAAATCTTGTTCTCCCAGACTGAAGTATCAATCAGTACACAACGCGCGGCAAAGGATTTATTAAAAAAAGAAAACAATCTAAGAAACGTCTGGTTTACGTTGTATACAGATATAAGAAGATGTGGTATGAGTGACAATGAGACCAATCTCCATCCAAGTCATAATTTGTAAATGTAAACCATTATATAGGTCAAAGTACGTTTTTCAACACGTAGTCTTTGCTCACACCGAACAGCAAGATATAAAGGGCCCCAAAAATGACTAGTGTAAAACCATTCAAACGGGAAAACCAACGGTGTCTAATCTATTCCAAAAAAAACGTTATACTTGCATATAGATCCATAAAAAATGAAAGTTTTTGAAAAGTTGTGGTCAGAACGTTTTGACCATCGAGATTTTGCAATAGAAATAATAGTTAGGACCAGAAGATTTTAACAGCCAGTGCAGAACTCGCACGAACGCCAGATTTAGTTAGAGGGGCGATATTCTGACGCGTTTTTTTAATTCTTGGTCACTCATGTTTAGAAAGAAAGGGGAGAAATCCAAACAATTACCGACCAATCACAAACGTTGTTGCAAATTTGACCTTATGACGTTTTTAATTATTGCATATAAATAAAAAAACTACTATACCAATTGAATAAAAAATATTGCATTTGAATGACAAATTATACCATTTGAATAAAAAATATTGCATTTAAATGAAAAAAATATCCCATTCAAATAAAAAATATTGCATTTGAATGACAAATTATACCATTTGAATAAAAAATATTGCATTTAAATGAAAAAATATACCATTCAAATAAAAAAATATTGCATTTAAATGAAGAAATATACCAATTAAATTAAAAATATTGCATTTAAATGAAAAATATCAAATTTTTGCAACCAATACCATGCCATAAACACACCCATATTTGAATTATTTTATACTTTAGATTTCTTAGCCATATTTGCATTTGTAAAAATATTTATATACCCAAATTTTCAATTATTTTACATGCCCAACTTTTATTTTTGTTGTAAAGAAGTGTAACTTGAAACAACAGTATATCATATAAAGAGAAATAAAGATTAAAGTTATATCATGAATATTGGTCATGATTTGTAAAACTCAGAACTGTCAAGTAAATTTAAGACACGATTCAAAATGTTCAGAATATGTCAAGCCATACTGAGAAAACATAAGAATGTCGAGAATATGTCGAGAAATTTCAAGACAGTATTCAAATGTCAAGAATTTGTCAAGAAATTTTAAGACCATATTCAGAATGTCGAGAATATGTCGAGTAAATTTCATACAAATTTAATATAAATGAGAATTTGTCAAGAAAAATTAAGACACAAGTCATACTTTTGGAGAATGTCGAGTAAAAGTTCATGCAAATTAAGACAAAAACTGGTCTTTTCAGACTTTTAGACTTTTGTAGTGAACCATACAACAATTAATGATTGTATCGACCTGAATATGTATGAATGATTTGATATTGGACACTAACCATACAACAATTAACGATCGTATCGACCTGAATATGTATGAATGATTTGATATTGGACACTAACCATACAACAATTAATGATTGTATCGACCTGAATATGTATGAAAGATTTGATATTGGACACTAACTATACAACAATTAACGATCGTATCGACCTGAATATGTATGAATGATTTGATATTGGACACTAACCATACAACAATTAATGATTATATCGACCTGAATATGTATGAAAGATTTGATATTGGACACTAACCATACATCAATTAATGATTGTATCCTCCTGAATATGTATGAATGATTTGATATTGGACACTAACCATACATCATTTAATGATTGTATCGTCCTAAATATGTATGAAAGATTTGATATTGGACACTAACCATTCAACAATTAACGATCGTATCGACCTAAATATGTATGAATGATTTGATATTGGACACTAACCATACAACAATTAACGATCGTATCGACCTGAATATGTATGAATGATTTGATATTGGACACTTACCATACATCGATTAAGGTATGAAGTATTTATCTAATGGACGTTAAGCAAACAGCAATCAGTAATTGTATCGTACTGAACATGTATGAAGTATTTGCTACTGGACGTCTTCTTATGAACTCTTTCACGAGATATATATACAAATAAGGAGATGTGGTACGATTGCCAATGAGACAACTATCCACCAAAGTTCAAATGAAGTGGATGTAAGCAATTATAGGCAACCGTACGGCCTTCAACAATGAGAACAACCCATTCCGTCTGGTCGGCTATAAAAGGCACCGACATGAAAAATTTGAAACCATTCAACTAAGAAAACAAACGGCCTAATTTATAACAAAACAATTTACGAAAACCAAAAACTACAAGCTCCTGACTTGTGACAGGCACATAAAGAATATGGCGGAGTTAAACATGCTTGAAGGCGCCATCCCTCTCCTAACCTGAGACAGTGGTGAAACGGCATATCAAAAGAACAAACTACAAAACAATAAACGAAACAACAAATATGAGAAACAGCAATAAACGACAACCACTCAGTTACAGGCTCCTGACTTGGGACAGGCACATATAGACTGTAGCGGGGTTAAATATATTTGAAGTCGCCAACCCTCCCTTAACCTGGGACAGTGGTGTAACAATATAAGAACAAACTATATAAATCAGTTGAAAAGGGCTTAAATCATCAGATTGATAGAATGCAGAAAAAACAAGTAACAAAAGCACAGACCGGACGTGGCAGGGTATTAACACAAAAGACACAAAGAACAGATCTGAAAGTACTCGCAGTGACTGGCAGCTAGTTCAAAGCCAATAACTAATAAAAAAACATGTATCTTAGACTTAAATATCAATCAGTACACATCCAACATCCAATTGATTGTATGTTTGCTTTTTGAATTTGCTCTATCTGTTTGGCTCTGAGATACCCGTATGTTGCAAGGGAGGGGACCAGCCTACATGTACAAGATACCATCATTAAGGGAAATAACTCCTAATTAGGCAAATTGAGTTAATCCAAAGGGTTAACTTGATATACAAGCGGCAGTAAAACCCATGCTATAGTAAGGCGTCCGTTGTGCTGTGTGAGATGTATAAATTTATAGTGACGTATGGTCAGAGTTTGGGCGTTAAATCATATGCATCATGTAGAGAGATAGTACCACGTTCTCTGTACACTAAAGAACCCTTGCAAAAACTCGTTGATGGGTCCGTAGGTGGCCTTTCGATACTCTCCATTTCTGTCCTTATACAATTTTCCTTTTCTATTGGCCACCCCGATCCAACCTCTAATGCACGACCTACGTATAAGGGTCTGGATGGGGATTACGGAATAGAAAATAATGGGCAAAATGTGCAGACTAAAGGACCCAGAAAATAAAGAAAAGAAAAAAATAAGCCAAAAAAATAAAGAATAGAGAATGAAGTGCTTAAATATAAAGAAAAGAGAAAAATGTCCCAACAAATTGAAAAACCCCCCATCCAGACCCCCACGTGTTATCTTAACTATTATTTTGTTTTCGTCTTGCACACTGGACGTAAAGTAACATAAAATCGATCAATCAATCAATCTACAAATGTAATTGAGTTGGGATATTAAATCCCGTGTCAGGTATCTTTTAGAAATCATAAATGTATCAAATATCAAATGTAGGTAAATTGCACAGTGGACGTGGCTGCACAAACGTTTTGGGCAATATTCTACTGGGATAAAATAAGAAATTTTCTTTTTCATCAGGCTTGATTTTTAAGTTAAAATCAATATAATTCTAGAATGTTAATAGTAAACGTAGAAACCATATATTAAAGGCGATATCAGGATAATATGTACCATAAAAATGATGGTCATGTGTTAAAACAAGTCACATGTTAAAACAAGTCAAGGTAAGCAAGCTATATATATCCGATCATAATTATATAACTGATCTTTGGACAAGGAAGTGTGTTAGTTACAACAGAATGGCGATGTCGGTGGCGGTGAAAGAAGATATTGATGATTTGCTAACTTGTACAATCTGTTTGGAGACATTCAAAGAACCTAAGTATCTGCCGTGTCTGCATACGTTTTGTAAGTCGTGTATTAATACATATATTGTTTCAAATGTGACAGGGAATAACCCTCATGGATTCAAATGTCCCGTATGTCGCCGATTAGTGCCAATTGATGAAAATGATGAGAAACCTGAAAATTGGGCAATGAATTTACCCGGTAACCATTTTATTCTATCACTTATTGATAGAAAGGCAATTCAAAAGTCGGAAAAACTTTGCGATACTTGTAAACTAGAGAATATTTCTCAGAAGGCACACTCATTCTGCACTGTGTGTGAAGAAGCATATTGTGAATCTTGTCAAAGATGTCATAAGCTGTACAAAACAACAAGAACTCACAAAATAGTTCCCATCACAGATATTAAGGCAGACACTGCCGTTTCCGATCTATTTGCGCATGTCACTTGTAAAGAACATCCCGACAAGACGATAGAGGTGTACTGTCAAGATCATTCCAAACCTTGTTGTACAGTTTGTGCCACTGTCCACCACAGAAAATGTGAACAAGTTGTCACTATTGATAAAGCTTTGATTGGGATAAAAGAATCCGAAAAAGCAAAAAACCTGATGACAAAGTTAACAGAAACGAGTAATACATTAGGTGAAGTTCTTCAGAACCAAAAGACTAACAAGAAAAACTTTGAAAATGGCATAGAAACAGTTCTACAAGAAATCATAAATTTGCGAGAAAAAGTTTGTAAACATTTAAATGAACTGGAGGAAAAACTGAAGGAAGAGGCCAACAGTAGCAGGAAAGAAAAAGTAATTAAGCTTGATGACGAAACAACAGATTTGTCCAGCCTAAAGAATACAGTTGATAACTGGAAAAAAATATTCGAAGCTTGTATATCTCAAGGATCAGAAATACAATGCCTGGTGAAGATGGACGAGATTCTTAACAATCTTCCTCAAACTGAAAATGACATTTCTAAACTTCTACATGAAATAAGAACTATATCCGTAAAGTTTGAACATAATGATGTTATTTCAGACATCGTATCTCTCGGTCGTTTGATTTTTAATGAGCACCGGCCTTCTATTCCCGGAATGAAGATAGCAAATTACCATAAAGGGAAAATCAGAACAGTGTTCACAATTGATGTTACAATAAATGCTGTTAGTGGGATATTCTTTAATAACGATATTATTTTGACCTATTATACTCAAAATAAGATCGTGTTCTACGACAACAAAGGACAACAACAAGAACAGTTAGGTATTCCTTACTATTCAACAGACATAGCTAAAGTTAATGACCAAACAGTCGCCGTGTCTTCAAATGAACAGAAGATAGTGGTTATTAACGTTAAACCGCTGAATATATTAAAGACATTAGATATCAACAATCCTGTGTGGGGTATAGCGTTCTGTCAAAACGAGTATGTTACTGCTCATTTTAATAAAATATCTTGGTTAAATTCTGATAATGGTAGTGAAGTTACAAGTCAATCAACAACAGCAGACACTAGACATGTTTATTGTTACCAGAAAAATGATTACATCTATTGGGATAGTGGAAATTCTATTAAAAGGGAGAGCAATCAGGGAAACAGCTTTACGTATACCAATAGTCTGTTACAACGCCCCTATTTCCTGGACGTTGATAGCGACGGAAACATTTATATCACTGGATATGAGTCCAAAAACATTCATCAGTTGACATCTACTGGAAAACTCGTACGAATTATTCCCATATCGGAGATAGACAATACCATCACGGCTCATCCATGGGTAATACGGTTCCAGCCAAACAGTAACAGATTTCTACTAACATTTGAAAGGGGTGCTACTAAAGTGCTTGTGTGTGAAATCGATTAAAAATATATTTGGAGGGAGCATGAATACAAATTGCAATGTTTTCTAGATCACCAATAGTCAGTTCTGAACCTTACGGACAATTGAATGCGGTTGAAGTGTGATGACAATGGTAGTCATTGCGATTACCTGGTTACTAAAACTATTGAACGAGCGTATTTTTTTATCTTATGAAAAGAACATGAAAAGAATCAATCAATAGATTTTTTTGTATTATCTTCATTATATTAATTAACACAATACGACTCTAGATATTAGGCTTTTTAAGCCATGAATAAGTTTAGCAATTCCATTAATAATAAAAAGGTTTTTTAAAATATGTTTTTTTATACTAATGTATTATCATTCACGAATGTGTCCATGCTGTAACGGAAGTACTGATCAGAAGACGGATTTTCATTATAAAGTATTCCTACTACAAGTGATATCAAACCTCACGTCTACAAATTTGAAGATATTGTTATATGCGAGTACTTAAAAAAACATAATACAAGAGAGGCGAAAGATACCAAAGGGACATTCAAACTCATATGTCGAAAATAAACTGACAACGCCATGGCTAAAAAAGAAAAAGACCAACAGACAAACAATAGTACACAAAACGCAACATAGAAAACTAAAGACTGAGCACCCCACCAAAAACTGGGGGAGATCTCAGGTGCTCCGGAAGGGTAAGCAGATCATGCTCTACATGTGGCACCCGTCGTGTTGCTCATTTTAGTACAAACCGGGAAATAAATCTAATTCGGTAGATCACATTCGGGAAAAAGGGGACCGGATTGTAGTTCGTAACATTTGGAACATATCCGCTATCATCTGTGAAACGGATATTTCATAACGGTCAACCAACTCGTTATGGCGTCCGTAAAATTTACGAAGGGATGATTTCAACTTCACCACTACACTGTCAGACAGAAACACAAATACAGAAGAAAGACTCAGGAAGCAAGGACCCAAAATTCCAAAAAGTTGTGCCAAACAAATAATACAAACAATACATTACAATGGCGAACAAGATAGAAAAGAATAAAAATAACGTAAATAGTCAATAAATAATGTACAAGTATATCAGATTGTCTAATTGAGTTAACATATTCTGTCCTTCGTTAAACAATATTAGGTTATACATGGAACTGATTTAATAGTATCCTTTCTTATGTTGTGCTTTTACACCACTGTCCAAGGTGAGGGGAGGGTTTAGCGCTCGCTAACATGTTTATCCCCGCCACATTCTGTATGTGCCTGTCCCAAGTCATGTACATGTAATTCAGTGATTGTCATTGTTTGCTGTCTGTGTTATTTGTGTTTTGTTTATTTTTTTGCTCTTAAATCAGGCCGTTGGTTTTTTAGTTTGAATTGTTTTACATTTCGTCATTTTAGGGCATTTTATAGCTTACTTTACGGTATGGGTTTGTTTCATTGTTGAAGACCGTACGTTCACCTTTAGTTGTTTACATCTACATCATTTTATACCTCGTAGGTAGTTGTCTTATTGACAATCATACCACATCCTCTTGTTCTCATGATGATGTTAAAAAAAAGGAAACGAATGCCGTTGAAGTCTCAGCTGAAATTCATATATTAAGCAAACTTTCTAATCGTACACAAAACCTAATATCACCTTTGTGAATATTTATAATGAATACGAAAATTTCTAGAAAACTATCAGATATAAGAATGCCCAGCTAATATTCCATATACTACATTCTTTTCTATTGAATTGTAACCTTAAACGGGTAAATGATTTAATATGCCATATCCTTTTTTTTTCCATTAAAGGTGATTTATCTGCACATGACACCAATGATCGTTGCATAACCAGAAAAGCTGCATGTTTATTATGAGAAAATATATTAAAAGTATATAATTGAGTAGGCATAATATTTTAGCAACATTTCTTTTAAGAGCTGTTTAAATTGAAAAGGCCGTTTCAATTAAAATTTGTTTACTAAAGATCTGCATAACGAGAATATTGCGAAAAGTAATAAGATCTGGCAAATCGGACCTTTCATGCTTTTTGTTTTATTGAATAAAAATAAAATTAACTCGTCCAGTGTCTTGTTTGATGAACATTTATAAAACTGTACACGTATGTACAAAAAGAAATGCAAATTAACCTGTTTTTAGCAGATACGTAAATTTCAGATAACAAATATTTCATAAACAGGATGTTATTATATGTCAAAGGCTAAAATTTAACGATTAGGAACTTTCAACAAAGTAAAATTACCGGTATGACATATAAGTATAAAAATATTGTTTTTATCAACGATTATTTTTTTTACACTTTTTATTTGGTATAGGAGGAAGACAACAAACACCAAATAAAATTAAAAACAGCATTTCATAACTATGATAATTTGTTCATCGACAAACAAAATTCATTGTATTATTTCCTCGATATTTTTAATTTCAGAGTTGCCATCCCTGTCTTTATAAACAATTATTGTTACTTTATAAAATTTCACGTTCTGACCATGAAAAGTACTATATTGACTACTTCAATTCCATGTTATTTATGCAGAAAACATTTCAACAGGTAAACAGGTAAAGGTGAAGCAATAATAATTTCATATACAAAATAGATGTAAGGTAAATTTATTTGCCAGGGAGAAAATGACAGATTTTTAAGATAATTTCTTGTAATTACGACCAAACAGTACTCAACCAAACTTGTTGATGGAATAACAAACCCTAAATGTCTGAATTGGCATAGTTTTCCGAGCCTCTCAATAGGTTACGACCAACTAACTTTGAGGTTAGGGTTATTAATTTATTTTTCATTCTAAAAGTTTATTCTGTACTATGCAAGCATGCAAATTGAGTTAATCCCTCGGTTAATCCCAAGGGTTGACTGGATATACAAACGGCAGTAAATCCCATGCCACAGTAGGGCGTCCGTTGCGCTGTGTGAGATGTATAAATTTGTAGTCACTTATGGTCAAAGGTGGGAGTTAAATCAGATGCATCATGTAGAGAGATAGTACCACGCTCTCTGTACACTAAAGAACCCTTGCAAAAACTCGTTGATGGGTCCGTAGGTGGCCTTTCGATACTCTTAATTTATGTCCTTATACAATTTTCCTTTTCTATTGGCCATCCCGATCCAACCTCTAATGCACGACTTACGTATAAGGGTCTGGATGGGGTTTACGGAATAGAAAATAATGGGCAAAATGTGCAGGCTAAAGGAACCAAAAATTAAAGAATAGAGTTAAATAGAGTTAAATAGGCAAAAAAAAAAAAAGAATAATGAGGTGCTGAAATATAAAGAATAGAGAAAAACGACCTAAAAAATTAAAGAATCCCCAATCCAGACACTCACGTGTTGTCTTAACTACTAATTTGTTTTCGTCCTGAACATGCATAAAAACATTGTCACTGGACGTAAAGTAACATAAAATCGATTAAATCTACAAATGTAATTGAGGTGGGACATTAAATCCCGTCATCTTGTTAGTCAGGTATTTTAGAATTCATGGATGTATCAAATATATATTCAAGAAATCAAACGTTTTGGGCAACGTTCTATTGTGATAAAATTAGTAATTTTTCATCAAGCTTGATTTTTTAAGTTAAAATCAACATAATTTTAGAATGTAAATAGGAAACGTAGAAACTATATCAGGAGGTATCAGGACAATATGTACCATGATAATGATGGTCACGTGTTACCAAGTTACGTGTTAAAACTAGTCAAGGTAAGGAAGCTATATATATCCGATCATAACTATAACAGATTTGTGGACCAGGAAGTTTGTAAGTTACAACAGAATGGCGATGTCGGTGGCGGTTAAAGAAGATTTTGATGATCTTCTAATTTGTACAATCTGTCTAGAGACATTGAAAGAACCTAAGTATCTGTCATGTCTGCATACGTTTTGTCAGTCGTGTATTAATACATATATTGTTTCAACCGTGAAAGAGAATTATCCAAATGAATTCAAATGTCCCGTATGTCGTCGATTAGTGCCAATTGATGAAAATGATGAGAAACCTGAAAATTGGGCCACCAATTTACCCGGTAACCATTTTATTATATCACTTATTATTAATAGAAAGGCAATTCAAAAGTCGGAAAAACTTTGCGATACTTGTAATCTAGCGAATATTTCTCAGAAGGCGCACTCATTCTGCACTGTGTGTGAAGAAGCATATTGTGAATCATGTCAAAGATGTCATAAGCTGTACAAAATAACAAGAACTCACAAAATAGTTCCCATCAAAGATATTAAGGCAGACACTGCCGTTTCCGGTCTATTTGCGCATGTCACTTGTAAAGAACATCCAGACAAGACGATAGAGGTGTACTGTCAAGATCATTCCAAACCTTGTTGTACAGTTTGTGCAACTGTCCACCACAGAAAATGTGAACAGGTTGTCACTATTGATGAAGCGGTGATTGGGATAAACGAATCCGAAAAAGCAAACAACCTTATAACAAAGTTAACAGACACAAGTAACACATAAGGTGAAGTTTTTCAGAACCAAAAGACAAACAAGGAAAACTTTGAAAATGGCATAGAAACCGTTCTAGAACAAATCACAAAATTACGTGAAGATTATGGAAACATTTAAATGATCTCGAGCTAAAACTTAGGACCGAGGTCAATAGTAGCAGAAAAGAAAAGGTTATCAAGCTTGACTACGAAACGACAGATTAGTCTAGCCTAATGAGTACAGTTGATAACTGAAAGAAAATATTCGAAGTTTGTATATCTCAAAGATCAGAAATACAATGCCTGCTCAAGATGGACGAGATTTTAAACAACCTTCCTAAAACTGAAGATGACATTACCAAGATTTTACTTGAAATGAGGACTATATCGATAAAGTTTGAACATAAAGATTTTATTTCTGACATCGTATCTCCCAGTCGTTTGATTTTTAATGGGCATCGGCCTTCTATTCCAGGAATGAAGATAGCAAATTACCATACAGGGAAAATCAGAATAGTGTTCACAATTAATGTTACAATAAATGCTGTTAGCGGGATATTTTTTAATAATGATATTCTTTGATAATGATATTATTTTGACCCATTATGCTCAAAATAAGATCGTGTACTACGACCACAAAGGGCAACAACAAGAACAGTTAGATATTTCTTACTATTCAACAGACATAACAAAAGTGAATGATCAAAAAGTCGCCGTGTCTTCAAATGAACTATCAACGTTAAACTGTTGACTATATTAAAGACATTTAATATCAGCAATCCTGTGTGGGGTATTTCGTTCTGTAAAAACGAATATGTTATTTCTTATCTTTGCAAAATATCTTGGTTAAATTCTGGAAATGGTAGTGAAGTTACAAG